GTCCGCACCGCCCGCCGAAGAGCGAGCAGCGACGGTGCTAGCAAGGCCCAGTGGCCACGGCAGGCAGGGTGCCGAAAGGCGCGCCTGCCCGACCGACCACCGCTCAGAACGGACGGTCGGCCCCGACGCTCGCTCTCGTCGTACGGGCCACAGGCGCCGGCCCGACCGACTTGGGCCAGCGCGGGGTGGCGAACCCGGAGTCGACGATCGCCGCGTAGGTGTCGAGGAAACCTGAACGGCGATGGCCCCGCGGGCCCCTGGCGCCCCGGCCGCGCGCGCGCGGGGAGGGGAGTGGGGGGCGAGCGGGGCAGCTATCGGGCCGAGAAGCTGCAGACGACTGCAATCAGCGGGCGCGATGGGGATAAGAAGGAGCATTCTTTAGAATTAATAATGTTCAACAACAACTACAACAACAACAACAACAACAAGAAGAAGAAGAAGAAGACCAATACCATGAACAACAACAACAGAAACAACAACAAGGCAAAACAACCTGCTGGTGTACCCGGAGCCGGTCCACCAGTTCGCTGTTTTGCTCCATGTAGCGAAACAACCCACTGGTGTACCAGGACCCCCCCCCCCCCCCCCCCCCGCAACGCAACGCAACGCAACGCAACACGGCTGTATGAGCAGCCTCTGTTGCGTTGTGTTCCGTTGCGCGGGCAGGTGGGGGGTGTGTGACCCTACGGGAGCTCCCACTGTATGGGATCCCCTACGGATACGGACTGTATAGGATCCCATACGGATCCTATACGGACTGTATAGGATCCCATACGGATCCTATACGGACTGTATGGGATCCCATACGGATCCTATACGGACTGTATGGCATCGCATACGGATCCTATACGGACTGTATGGGATCCCATACGGATCCTATACGGACTGTATGGGATCCCATACGGATCCTATACGGATTGTATGGGATCCCCTACGGATCCTATATAGACTGTATGGGATCCCCTACGGATCCTATACGGACTGTATGGGATCCCCTACGGATCCTATACGGACTGTATGGGATCCCATACAGATCCTATACGGACTGTATGGGATCCCTTACGGATCCTAGACGGATTGTTCTCGCTTGGGTTCCCGATGGGGCGCTCTGGAGGGTCTGGGGGGAGGCGCCGTGAGAGGCGGGGCCCGAGGCCTCTAGAGGCTCGTCCTCCTCCTCCTCCTCCTCCTCCTCTACATCCTCCTCGTCCTCCTCCCCTTCCCCCTTCCCCCCATCCCCCTCCTCCTCCTCCTCCCCCTCCTCCTCCTCCTCCTCCTCCTCCTCCTCCTCCTCCTCCTCCTCGTCCTCCTCCCCCTCCGACGACAACGACGAACAATGCACACGCCCAAGCGATAACGAGGACCGCTGTCCCAGGTCCCCAGGGTCCGAGCCACGCCTGGGAGCCGGCTAACCACGAAAATAACCTCGAATGTTGATATCGCAAGAAGCGGTACGCGCAGGAGCAGAAAGAAGAAGAGATGGACCCCTGTAGGGGTCCCATGGGAACCTATGGAATCCTATGCGTGTCCTATGGGAATCCTATGGAAACCTGTCGGGGTCCTATGGGAGTCCGATGAAACCCTGTAGGGGTCCTAAGGGAGTCCTATGAAACCCTGTAGGCGTCCGATGGGAGTCCTATGGAACCCTGTAGGGGTCCCATGGGAGTTTTAAGGAACCCTGTCTGGGTCGTATGGGAGTCCTATGAAACCCTGTAGGGGTCCTATGGGCCTCCCATGGAACCCTGTAGGGGTCCTATAGGAGTCCGATGGAACCCTGTACGGGTCCTATGGGCACCCGATGGATCCCTGTAGGGGTCCTATGGGAGTCCGATGGAACCCTGTACGGGTCCTATGAGAATCCGATGGAACCCTGTAGGGGTCGTATGGGAGTCCGATGGAACCCTGTACGGGTCCTATGGGGGTCCCATGGAACCCTGTCCGGGTCCTATGGGAACCCGATGGAACCCTGTCCGGGTCCTATGGGAACCCGATGGATCCCTGTAGGGGTCCTATGGGAGTCCTATGAAGCCCTGTAGGGGTCCTATGGGAGTCCTATGGAACCCTGTCGGGGTTCCATGGGAGTCTTCAGGAACCCTGTCTGGGTCGTATGGGAGTCCTATGAAACCCTGTAGGGGTCCTATGGGAGTCCCATGGAACCCTGTAGGGGTCCTATAGGAGTCCAATGGAACCCTACACGGGTCCTATGGGAATCCGATGGAACCCTGTAGGGGTCCTATGGGGGTCCGATCCAACCCTGTGCGGCTCCTACAAAAGTCCAATGGAACCCTGTACGGGTCCTATAGGAATCCTATGGAACCGTGTAGGGGTCCTATAGGAATCCTATGGAACCCTGTAGGGGTCCTGTGGGAGCCCTATAGAACCCTGTACGGGTCCCTGTACGCCCCGCGGGGGGGCGCGCGGGGAGAGCGTTGCGTTGCGTTGCGCTGCGTTGCGCGGGGGGGGGGGGGGGGGAGGGGGCGGTCCGCCAGCTAGTGGTTTCGTCAACAAGGCAAAAACAACAACAACAACAACAACAACAACAACAACAACAACAACAACAACAACAACAACAACAACAACAACAACAACAACAACAACAACAACAACAACAACAACAACAACAACAACAACAACAACAACAACACAACGAAAACGAAAAACGTGCACGCGCGAGGGGTGGCCGCAATAGATCGGCGATAGGCCCCAGATAGCGACTCCGCCCGCCTCTGGGCGGGGCGGGCCAGCAGGCACCTGTCGGCGATCCATGGGCGATTGGGGGTCGATGCGTCCCCCCCAGGGCCTGTGCCCCCCCCGACGTTGCCCCTGAAGGAGGGCACTCCCCCCGGGGCCAGAACTCCCGACTGGTTCCCCAGGGCAGCATCTTTCCTCCCGAGTCGTTTGCGACGGCCCCAAATTTGGAGTCACGAAACGGTGCGGTGACAGACCGTGCGGTGACCTCGAAATCCCCCAAGACCTCACCGCACGGTCCGTCAACGCACGGTTTTGGGAACTCGGATGCCCCAGTCGCCCGAGACGTCCTCGGAGAACGACCCGAGTCACAAAACCGTGCGGTGACCCCGAATCCCCACCGACTCACCGCACGGTGTGGTCACCACCCCGTTTGGGGGCCCCCGAGTTTGTGACGACCCCAGAGCTCGGCGAGGGCGGCCCGGAGGCTGAAGAGAGGGAAGAGCCTCCGGCTTGATTTCTGCCACACGCCAGAGGCCTGGGCACACACCAATCCCGGGCCCAGGGTTAGGTCGGGCACGTCCTCCTACAGGCGGCTTTTGGAAGGAAACCAAATGGATCAACCAATGTCAAAAACATACTCCGAAAGGGTCGAAAAATCGTCTACCTACTCCTCCTGTATAGGGGGCGTCCAAGAGTGGGGGGTGCAAATCATGACCGGCGGCATGCGCGCGGCTCAGGGGGGGGGGCTGGGGACGCAGTGGAATAAGCAGAGGCGGCATGAGATCTGGGGATACATCATGGCCCACGTCATGATATCCACCCCCCCACTCAAAATCCCTTATTAGTCGTCCCCCGGGTCCGGTTTTGTTAAGGCGCCTTTTTTGTAACTGTGGGGGGATCCGGTTTATTTGGGCGCATTATTTGGATTGGAGCCTAGGGGGTCCGGATTATTCAGGCGCCCCGTCGAAGAGGGGGGTCGGGCATATCAGGTCACAGTCACATTTGGAGGGAGTCCGGTTTTTTTGGGGGGGTCGATAAATAAGGGATTTGGAGTGTAGTCATCACCCCCCTCTTTGCCGACCCCGACTGTAGAGGGGCACGCCCGACGTAAGCCCAGGGACGGCCAGGGGCCGGGATCGGCCCCAGCGAGGGCGGCCCACCGCCCCGCCTGCAGCGGCTCAGAGGTACGGCTCCACGCGGTAGGCCAGGGGGCCGTGCCCGTCGCTCTCGCCCGGGTGCTGCCAGAAGTGCCCCCCGAGCCAGGTCAGAGGTGACGACAGGGGCGAATAGCCCAGGGGAGAGCAATACATGTATTCAGGTACGCCGATGATCTATGCCTTCGAAGAGGCTCCCAGGCGAATACGTGTAATGCCTGCCCCTGGGCTGTTCGGCCCTGTCGTCGCCACCGACCAGGGTGCCCCCAGGACTCACGGAGTAGCCTCAAGTCGGGCCTGTCCCCCTACAGGCCGATGTTCGAGGAAAAATCGAAAATCGTCAAAAAATGCTCAGGAATGCTCAAACAAATACCTATCAAATAGTCCCCATACTATTGTTTGACTATTTTTGAATATTCCTCCTGTAGAGGGACAGGCCCGACTTAAGGGTAGCCCAAGCGGCCTCCAGAGCACCCCTCACGAGGCCCAGGAGGGCCCCAGGGTTTCCAGAATGGGGCGAAAAAAAGCTGGGGGCACCCTGGGCCAGGGGTACTCCTGGCAGCACCCGACTCGTCCTCGCGGCCTCCCAGCGACTGCGCGAAGGACACCGTCACCAGCCCCCGAGCTGCGTCGACGGTCCTGGAGGGGCAGAGCACACGCTGCCGGCGCGCACCGGGGGGGGGAAGGCTTCTCGCTCGAAGAGGGCCCTGCACAGAGCTGGACCTAAACGGTGTTTTGGCGATTTCGTGGGCCGTTTTCGTTTCGACTTCGTTTTGCTGTCGGATTGAAGACAAAGCGAGGGAAAACGAAAACGAAAACAAAACGAAAAGCACCGCTTAGGTTCAGCCCTGGCCCTGAATTAGCTGCCAACCCGTGTACTCGCGCCCCGCTTGCACGGGCTTCGGGAAGGACAAACCGTCACCAGCCCCCGAGCTGCGTCGGCGGGCGTGGAGGGGCAGAGCACGCGCTGCCGGCGCGTACCAGGGGGGGGGAAGGCACGAGGGGGGGCGGCCTGCCGAGGACTCTGTAATTTCAGGTGGGCTTCTCGCAGGCCCTCCCGACCTCTGGGGAAGCCTTCCTGGAAGCCCCTGGGCCCTCCTGCGAGGGGAGGAGCCCCCCCGCCCTGTCAGAAGGCCGCCCACCCCCCCTTGCGCCACGCCCTCGTGCGCGCCATCAAACCAGGCACGGGCACGAACTCTCGGAGACCCGCGCGGACGTCTCGTGCCGGCGCCGGACGCCCCTCCCGCTGGCGCGCGGACGGGGTCCGGCGCCGTCCCGAGGGATCCCGGCGGGGGTCCGACAGCCCAGGCTTCGGGTGCGCAGAGGTGGGGGGCCACGAAGCGGGCGGCTCGCGCATCGCGGACCGAGGCACGTGCGCGGACGATGGGGGGGGCATGTTACGCACTGGAGGAAAATCTGGGAGATTTGATAGCCACGGCGGTTCCACACACATTCCCAGTCCTCACCCCCCCTTCGACGCCCTCGAGTATCAGGCTGGGTCATCAGAGCCAGCTTCTGAGACATCCAACGTCGTGATTTTTATCTCAGCGTGGCTCCTGGAGGTGTGAACCCCTTCCCAAGGACCGGCTTTTTCGTCCCCAGCTGTTTTTTGACGGCCCCAGGGCCCGGCAGGGCCCCTGGAGAGGCCGACGACTGCAAGAACCCTTGCCGTGCTCTTGCCACGACGCGAGGATGTCAGGGTTCTGTTCCTCGACCTTCCAGAAGGCGCCGCCGCCCCCGCTGAACCACATGCTCTGGCTCCTCTGGCGGAAGGGGGGGGGGGGGGGGGGGGGGGAGAGGCAAGGGGGGGGAGGACGACGCGAGGCAGGAGCGGGCGGGGCAGGCAGGGGGAGAAAGGTACGGGGGAGAACGAGGAGGAGGAGGAGGAGGAGGAGATGTGCAAACATCAGCGGACAGCTGCCGACAATGCAGCAGAGGGCTGGCGAGGCCACCTAGAAGGAGCATCATCGCGGAGGGAAGGGGGAGGAGGTGGAGGAGGAGGAGGAGGAGACACCGATAGGGTGGAACTTGCTCAGGGCGGGGGGGTAGAAATCGACCTGGGATCGGCGGTACGTCGCCCATGGACCGGCGATTGGCCCCCGATAGCGAGCGCACACGCTCATGGACGTCATCGCCATCGTCGTCGTCGCTGTCGTCGCCGTCGCCGTGGCCGCCGTCGCCGTCGTCGACGTCGCCGTCGCCGTCGTCGCCGTCGCCGCTGCTGTCGACGTCGCCGTCGCCGTCGTCGTCATCGTCGCCGTCGTCGTCGCCGTCGCCGTCGACGTCGTCATCGTCGCCGTCGCCGGGCTGGAGGTCCTCCGCGGCGGGCGGCCTCCGCGGGGAGGCAGGTCGTGGTCGAGGTAGGCGTGCAGCAGCGAGAGACCGCGGTAGTCCCACCAGCCGCCAGGCCTGGGCCCGTCCTCGGCCCCGGCGCCGACGGCGGCGGCGACGCCAACGGCGGCGGCGACGGCGACGGCGACGGCGACGACGACGGCGACGGCGACGACGGCGACGGCAACGGCGACGGCGACGACGAGGGCGATGACGACGACGGCGACGGCGACGACGGCGACGACGACGATGACGAAGACGGTGACAGCGGCGGCGGCGGCGCGATGGCGGGTGTGGGTCGCCGACGATGGCGGCGACGGCAGCGGCGGCGGCGGCGGCGACGACGACGGCGACGGCGACGACGACGGCGGCGGCAGTTGCGACGGCGATGGCGACGGCGACGGCGACGGCGACGGCGACGATGACGACGGCGACGGCGACGGCATAGGCGACAACGACGGCGACGGAGACGCCGATGACGACGGCGACGGCGCCGGCGGTGGCAGCGACGGCGGCGACGGCGACGGCGACGGCGACGGCGGCGACAACGGCGGCGGCGACGGCGACGACGGCGACGGCGACGGCGACGGCGACGGCGGCGGCGACGGCGGCGACGGCGACGGTTTGACGACGGCGACGCGACGGCGACGGGGACGGCGAAGGCGACGGCAACGGCGATGACGACGGCGATGGGACGGCGATGGCGGCGGCGACGCAACGGCGACAGGTGACGGCGACGGCGGCCGGCGGACGACGACGACGGCGACGACGGCGACGGTGGCCAAACAACGACGATGGCGGCGACGGCGGCGGCGGCGGTGGACGGCGGCGGCGACGGCGGCGGCAACGACGGCGACGGCGACGGCGACGGCAACGACGGCGCCAGCGACGGCGACGGCGACGGCGACGGCGGCGGCGACGGCGGCGGCGACGGCGGCGGCGACGACGACAGCGACGGCGACGGACATGGCAACGACGACGACGGCGGCGACGGCGACGGCGACGGCGGCGGCGGCGGCGGCGACGACGATGGCGGGAACGGCAACGGCGGCGGCGGCGACGACGGCGACGGCGCGGCGGGGGCGGGGGCGACGGCGACGGCGATAACGACGGCGACAACGACGGCGACGGCGACGGCGACGGCGACGGCGACACCTCGGATGCCCCGGTCGCCCGAGACGTCCTTGGAGAACGTCCCGAGTCCCAGAGCCGTGCGGTGACCCCGAATCCCCACCGACTCACCACACGGTGTGGTCACCGCCCCGTTGGGGGGCCCCCGAGTGGCGGGCACTGCGGCCAGGAACCGTTGCAGAGCGCGTCGCGGCGGCGGCCCCCGGCAAGCGCTGCCGCGCGAGCGGGCAGCGTTTCGCTGCCCTCCGCGGGGCGGGAGGCGCGGAGAAGCTCGGGGCACGGACGCCTGGGGGCCCAGGTGTGGGTAGCGTGTCGCCCGCGGGGAGGCCGGGCGCCCGCAGGGAGGGCGGCCTCCCGTGGAGAGAAAGGGGCAAGCCTGCAGGGAGGCAGGGGGGGGTGCGCGCCCGCGAGGGAGGGGGGGAGGAGGAGGAGGAGGAGGAGGAGGAGGAGGAGGAGGAGGAGGAGGAGGAGGAGGAGGAGGAGGAGGAGGAGGAAGGGAGGAGGAGGAGGAGGAGGAGGAGGAGGAGGAGGAGGAGGAGGAGGAGGAGGGGGAGGAGGAGGAGGAGGAGGAGGAGGAGAGGAGGAGGAGGAGGAGGAGGAGGAGGAGGAGGAGGAGGGGAGGAGGAGGAGGAGGAGGAGGCGCGACGACTGGTGGGCCAGCACCAGAGGAGCGACACGCTGCCCGTCAAAGTTCCGGCTCGCAAGCCCACCGGGCTGTGGGCGGTTCCAGAAGGGACGCCTGGGGAAGAGCAAGCAGGCGGCACTTGTCCGCAGCTGCTGAGCGTGTTGCGTGCTGGGTTCCCCGTGTCCCTCTCGGAAGGTCACGCGGTACCCATGAAACCAACGGGGCCCTACTGCTTCTGCTCTCGACTGCTCCTGCTCCGCACAGTAGTAACGACTCCTCCTCCTCCTCCTCCTCCTCCTCCTCCTCCCCCTCCTCCTGTCCTCCTAACCTCCTCCTCTTGCTAATCCTCCTCCTCCTCCTACTAATACTCCTCCTCCTCCAGCTCACTCTAAATCCTCCCCTCCTCCTCCTCCTCCTCCTCCTCCTCATCCTCCTCCTCACTCCTCCTCCTCCTCTCCTCCTCTCCTCCTCCTCATACCTCCCACAATCCTCCTCATCCTTCCTGCTCCTTCCCTCCCCTCCTCCTCCTCCTCCTCGTCCTCGTCCTCCTGCTCCTACTCCTCCTCCTCCTCCTCCTCATCCTCCTCCTCCTCCACTCCTACTCCTCCTCTCTCCCCTCCTTCCTCCTCCTCCTCCTCTCCCTCCTCCTCCTCCTCACCTCCGCCTCCTCCTCCTCCTCCTCGTCCTCGTCCTCCTGCTCCTCCTCGCCCTCCTCCTCCTCCTCCAACTCTCTCTCCTCCTCCCTCCTTCCTCCTCCTCCTCCTCCCCTCCTCCTCCTCCCTCTCCTCCTTCCCTCCACCTAATCCTCCTCCTCCTCCTCTTCCTCCTCCTCCTCCTCCTCCTCCCTCTCCTCCTCCTCCTCTCTCCTCCTCCCCCTCCTCCTCCTCCTCCTCCTCCTCCTCCTCCCCTTCCTCCTCCTGCATTCCTTTTCCTTATCAGTATCTTCTCTCTGTCGCACCCCGAGGCCACTTGGAAGGGCGGGTCGAGCGTTTCGCCTGAGACTTCCTCACCATTCATAACCATGAAGCTTTAAAACTGGCAACAGTTTCACAGATGGGCGGGGCGTTCTCAAGATGTAGCTCTCGCCTTAGCGCCGCGCACATTCGTGTTAAAGATTTGCAAGAGTCTCACGGATTGAGGGCGGTTCCTTTTCAAAATATGCCTCTCGCCTTAGCTCCGCACACGTTCTTTGTAGAAGTTCAAAAGAGCTTCACGGATTGAGGGTGATTCCTTTTCAAAATGTGGCTTTCGCCCTAGCTCGTTTAAAAAATTGCAGGAGTTTCATGGATTCCAATGGTCAACGTACCAGGAATGGTGTTTTGGACAGATTCAGGATTACGAGGGTGCAACAGTTACGTTGATTCGCGGTGTTGAAAACCCAGGAATGGCGTTCTGGCACCATTCAGGATCGTCAAGATGCAACAGTCAGGTTGATCCGTGGCGTTGTGTTGGCATGTGTTGGCATGCTTCAGGGTCTTCAAACGGTTGTCTTCCAACGAGACCATCAGTGGAAATGTAATCCTTGTAGGGGCCTATGAAGAGGGAGCTTGGAGGGAGGGTTTATTCCAACCTCGTTGATGATTCTTGTCGGGCGTTGGCAGAACTGGGTTTAGTGGAACCTGGTTTACAGATCTGTACCGGGCGCGCCCCCCGTCCCGTTTCCACTTTCCGGAACTGCCGTCACCCAAAAACACCACCAGCTATGGCAAACCTGGATTAGTGATTCTGGCCAATTCAAAGGCTCCGGGGCACTACCACTAACCGGGTCCCCTTACCTGGGGTCATGGCCATCCCCGATCTTGAGTTTACACTGGTCCTCCTCCTCCTCCTCCTCCTCCTCCTCCTCCTCCTCCTCCTCCTCCTCCTCCTCCTCCTCCGCCTCCTCCTCCTACTCCTCCTCCTCGTCCTCCTCCTTCTCCTCCTCCACCTTCTCCTCGTCCTCGTCCTCCTCATCCTCCTCGCCCTCGTCCTCCTCCTCGTCCTCCTCCTACTCGTCCTCCTCCTCCTCATCCTCCTCGGCATGCTCCTGCGAGCCTCTTCTCAGAAAGTCCGCCGCCAAGCTGCCGGCCCCGAGCGGATCGTCCTCTGACACCCTCAGAATCCTCAACATCAGATTTCGTGAGCGGTCGCCACGGACCCCAGGCCTCTCTGGCGCTTCTGCGCGCTCCTGGGGTGCGCCACGCAACCTCTCCCGAGGCCTCGGGGGCGTGGCTTGGAATCCAAGCTTCCCGCATGCTCCGGTACGGTCACAGGGCCCCGTCCTGGGACTCTCGGGGAGGACCTCTTGGGCTGGCCTCGAGCTTTCTTCGGGGCTGGCACCTTGAGGCTGAACCACTCCAAGCAAACTCTGCCAGCGCGTGGAACTGTGCGGAGCCCTGTGTGTGACTACCTACCAGACCACCCCAACCCGACCCGAAGACCCGAATCTCGGGTGGGGGGGTGCGGGTTCCCTATGTGTTTTGTCGATGTTCCTGGACCCCCCCCCCACTGGAAATAGATGGCAAATGATATCGGAGAAAAAAAAAAAAAAAAAAAAAAAAAAAAAAAAAAAAAAAAAAAAAAAAAAAAAAAAAACATCAGGGCTATAGGGCTATTGGGCTATAGGGCTATAGGGCTATAGGGCATCCCCGGGCACCCGGGCACCACCGGGCACCCCCGGGCACCCGGGCACCCGGGCACCCCAGGGCACCCGGGCACCCGGGCGTGCAGCGAAAATCGGCGGCAAACCTAACCTAACCATATGAATCCGCCAGGACCCCTACAGAGGCAAGCTCTGATTGGGGAATTGAAGCCCTCGGGTCGGGCTGGGGTGATCTGGTGGGCGGTGAGTGTGTGGAGCCCGCCGCTTCTGCACCCTGCCCCGCAGCGCCTGCTTCTTGCCCCCCTCTCCAAGTCGTCGGAGGCGGCGGCCGCGCGCGGGCACCTTCCATTTCGCCGGGTGCGAGCACGTTCCGACCCAGACATCAAGCTCTGCCCTCCTCCTTGCCCTGCTCCTTGCCCTCCTCCTCCTCCTCCTCCTCCTCCTTGCCCTCGCCCTCCTCCTTCTCCTTTTCCTCCCCCTCCTCCTCCTCCTCCTCCTCCTCCTCCTCCTCCTCCTCCTCCTCCTCCTCCGGATATCATTTTGTGGAAGGGTGGGAATGAGCGTGGCCCGCTGACTCGTTCGACCCACCTGGCTCCCCCCCTGCCCCCCCCGCCCCTCCCTCAGCCAACACCTCCCGAGCACCATCTTGACGCGTGTTCCGAGCCGCGTCCAGCCACGGCGACGAGCGAAGCGAAGCGAAGCGAAGCGAAGCGAAGCGAAGCGAAGCGAAGCGAAGCGAAGCGCGCAAGTGCGCTGGAGCGGGACCCTTGAGGGTCGGCGCGGGCGGGCTGGGGCCCTTACACCGTGGTGCCGGAGATGTTCATAAAGAAGCCGTCGCATGCGTGATAAATTGTCCCTCCAATCTGTGCCACGGCGACGAGGGGATCCCCCGAGTCCTGAAACACGAGAACGAAGAGGACGGAAGCCCAGATCTCAGATGTCCTGATCTTGTTCAATGCCGTGAGCCCGCTGAGCGCTCGACCCGATCTCTCAAAAGTCCGGTCCCCGATTGCACATCGTTTCGGTCCCGGCCCCGGGGCCTAGAAGCGGCCTCTGGCCACCGAAAAATGACGAAACAGCTGGCCACAAACGGCCTGGGAGGCGCCCGTCCTAGGCCCTGCCCAGCGCCGCCAACGACGCCCGCGAGAGCCATGACGACCGCGACAGCGACGACGACAACAACGACGACGGCGGCGGCGGCAAACAGCGACGACGACGCCGCCGCCGCCGCCGACGACGACGACGACGACGAAGACGACGACCACGGCGGGGACGGAAGCGGCGACGGCGGCCAAAACGACGACGGCGACAGTCCACAACCACGGCGACGACGATGACGACGACGACGACGACGACGACGACGACGACGACGACGACGGCGGCGACGACGAAGACGACGACGACGACGTCGACGACGACGGCGACGACGACGACGATGACGACGACGACGATGACGACGACGATGACGGCGGCGGCGGCGGCGGTGACAGCAGCGACGACGATGGCGGCGATGGCGACGCCCACGACGCCCGCAATGATGACTGCGGCGGCGGCGGCGGCGGCGGCGGCGGCGACGGCGACGGCGACGACGAGCGGCGGCGGCGGCGGCGACCACCACAGCGACGGCGACGGCGGCGGCGGTGAGGACGGCGGCGAAAACGACGGCGGCGGCGGCGGCGGACGCGGGCGTCCGCGTCGTGCCAGCCCGGGAGGCGCCCGTCCCGCGCCCGCCCCAGCGGGGCCAGCGCGTCCGACCAGAGGGCGCGAGCGGTGGCGGGGCGCAGCACGCGGCCGCCTCACGGCGACGACGACGACGACGAACGCGACGACGACGACGAAGACGACGACCACCACGGCGACGACGACGATGACGGCGACGACGACGATGCGACGACGACGACGACGACGACGAAAACGAAGACGACGACGACGACGACGACGACCACGACGACGACGAGGGCGACGACGACGGCGACAGCGACCACAACGACGACGACAACGACGACGAAGACGGCGACTGCGACGACGACAACAACGAAGACAACGACGACGACGACGATTGCGACGACGGCGACGACGACGACGACGGCGATAACCACGATGGCGACGACGACGGCAACGACGCCAGCGACTGCGACGGCGAGGACGCGATGACGGCGGCGGCGGCAGCGGCCACGACGGCGGCGGCGACGATGGCATCGAGGACGACGAAGGCGACCGACGGCGGCGACGACGACGACGACAATGGCGGCGGCGACAACAGCAGCAGCAACAAGAATTACAACAACAACAACAACAACAACAACAACAACAACAACAACAACAACAACAACAACAACAACAACAACAACAATTACAACAACGACGACAACAACAACAACCACAACAACAACAACAACAACAATCATTTAAGACTGGGGACACTCCGTTCTCACCAGTGCCAGGGTTTTCATAGGAGGCGGGCAATACCCCCACTTTGTGGGGGGGCCGGTTCAAGCTCTACCAAATTTCCAAACGACTCTTCGCCACCACCCACACCCAGCTTCCCGCCCTATGACGTTCGGACACTTCACTTCGTGGCATGCGGACGACCGTGGCTACTATTCAGGGCCCCGCGGCCGACGACGACGGCGTGCGCGCGCGAAGAAAAAACGAATGTGTCCAATATGGTATTATTTGACAGGGATGATGGCCCTGGCATGCGCGCAACCGTTGTTGCAGAAGTTCGAAGCACGTGAAAAAGTTGCTCGCAAGAGCCCGTTTGACAGAAATGTTGAAAAAATATTGGGTTTCCTCAGAAATCCGCAAGAGCGCGCAAGATGAATTTTTGAAACTTTTTTTTTGAAAAACCATTGGGTTTTTCATGTTTTTATGTTAAAATCGCTACGAAAACTAAGGTTTTGGAAGGATTTCATCTTGCGCGCGCGAGTGTGCACTTCGTGTCATTTTTTTTCAAAGGATTCTTGAAGTTTGGTTATGTTAGAACAAGAAATTTCATTTTATAGTGTTTTTTGCAAGGGAAAGCGATTACAACAAAACAACCGGATCCTGTACACACCCTCTTTTCTGAGGCTTCCTCACGAAAATGATGAAAATGTAGCTGCGGCCTAGGCGGCGCAGGGGGGGCGCGCACCAGGGGGCCCAACAATAATTATTCTTTAGAATAAATAATGTTCAACAACAACAACAAAACCACAACAACAACAACAACAACAACAACAACAACAACAATAACAACAACCACAACAACAACAGCAGCAGCAGCAAAACAAACAACAACCACAACAACAACAAACAACAACCACAACCACAACCACAACCAAACCACAAACCACAACCACACGACGACGACGACGACGACGACGACGACGACGACGACGACGACGACGGACATCATCATCATCATCCATCATCATCAGCAGCATCATCAGCATCATCATTCTCATTCAGCAACAGTAGCAACAACAACAACAACAATAATTTTAAGACTGTTCGCCCTTATATGCTCGAGTGTCCAATAACGCGTATTTCCCAAACCCTCGATACCCGCCCTCTTCGTCTTCGATCGAACCCCTTTTGGGGGGTATACCTTTCTTCCCTGCAGGCCGGGCCCCGGCAAGCGGCGGGGCGGCCGCGGACCGTCGGCCTGGCCAGCGGCAGCGCTGATCGGCGGGGCGGCCGCGGACCGTCGACCCGACCCCAAGAGGGACGGACAGGGGACCGACCACGACGACGACGACGACGACGACGACGTCGACGACGACGCGACGACGACGACGACGGCGACGACGAGCGAAAGCGAGAGCGAGAGAGAACGACAGCAGGGCCACGAAGGGCACGAAGTAGGCCACGAAGGGCGACAGCGGGGACACGAAGGGAATGCATATGGGGCCACGAAGAGCGCGAACGAGCGGGGGCCACGAAGTGCAGATAATGCGGGGCCACAGAAGGCAACTATGGGGCCACTGAAGGTAGCAACTGGTCCACGTAGGACAGTGAGGGGGACACGAATGGCGACAGCGGGGCCACGAAGGGCATGCACATAGGGCCACAACGGGCGCGACTCCTGGGTGCCTGGGTGTCGGGAGCGCGGCGATTGGACAAATTGCAAGAAATTCCAACGCAAGGCCATTCTTCAGTAAGTTGCAAGCAAGTCTCCAGCGAGAGCGCGACTCCAGAGCGCCGGGAGAGCGATTCCTGAATAAATTGTAAGGAATCGAAGTCCCAAGCGAGAGCGCGATTCCTGAATAAAATGCGAAGAAGTCTCGGGCGGGAGCGGAGATCCTGTCTAAATTGTAAGGAAGTCTCAGGCGGGAGCCGCTGTTGTTGTAACCCGGGGGCCAGGGGACCAGTTTGAGCAGGAAGACTTTCCCAGTCAAAAAACAGGGTGCGAGCGTCGAGGGGCACACTTCGATTGAGGAAAAACAGTATGCACCGGTAGGGGGGGATCAACAATAATCATTCTTCAGAAATGAGAATTCAACCACAACAACAACAACAAAACCACCATTACAACAACCACAACAACAACAGCAAAAACAACAACAACCACAACAACAGCATTAATAACAATACTTTTAAAACTGATCGCTCGTGTCTGCTCGAGTGTCATTCAACCCGTACTTCCCAAACCCTCGATACCCGCCCTCTTCGTCTTCGATCGTAACCCCTTTCTTCCCTGAAGGCCGGGCCCGACAAGCGGCGGGGCGGCCGCGGACCGTCGGTCTGCCGGCGGCAACGCTGACCGGCGGCAACCCGACCCCAAAAGGGACGGACAGGGGACCGACCGCGACGACGACGACGACGACGACGACGACGAACGAAAGCAAGAGCGAGGGCGAGAGAGAAAGCGACAGCGGGGCCACAAAGGGCAGTGATGGGGCCACGAAGGACAGCAAGGGGACCGCGAAGGGCGACAGCGGGGCCACTAAGGGCATGCGTATGGGGCCACGGAGGGCGCGAACGAGCGGGGGCCACGAAGGGCAACGACGGGGCCATGGAGGGTAGCAACGGGGCCACGTCGGGCAGCGAGGGGGTCACAATGGGCGACGGCGGGGCCTCGAAGGGCATACATATGGGGCCACGACGGGCGCGAACGAGCGGGAGGGAGCTACGAAGGGCAGCGAGGGGGCCACGACGGGCAGCGAGGGGCCACGAAGGGCAGCGAGGGGACCACGAAGGACTGCAACGGGGCCACGAAGGGCAGCGAGGGAGCCACGAAAGGCTGCAACGGGGCCACGAAGGGCAGCGAGGAGGCCACGAAGGGCTGCAACGGGGCCACGAAGGGCAGCGAGGGGGCCACGAAGGGCTGCAACGGGGCCACGAAGGGCAGCGAGGGGGCCACAAAGGGCGGCAACGGGACCACGAAGGGCAGCGAGGGGGCCACGAAGGGCTGCAACGGGGCCACAAAGGGCAGCGAGATCCCGATTCCTAAGTAAGCCGTGAGGGAGTCTTAGGCGTGAGCGCGACTCCTGGGCGCCGAGAGAGCGATTCCTGAACAACTTGAAAGGAAGTCCCAAGCGAGAGCACGACTCCTGAGTAATATGAGAGGAGATCTCAGGCGGGACCGGGGGTCCAGGCTAAATTGTGAGGTGTATCCAGCGGGAGCCGTTGTTGTTGTAACCCAGGGGCCAGGTGACTTCCCCTGATACAAAAAAAAGGGTGCGAGCCCCAAAAGAAGCACTTCAATCATAACAACACCACGGCCACTGGAGAGGGGGGATCAACAATAATTATGATTCAGCAATAAAAGCTCAACAACCAAAACGGGAAGGAAAAGGAGATGGAGGGGGAGGGCGAGTGCGAGAGCGAGGACGAAGCGGCTGAGGATGAGAAGAACCGAGGGAGGAACAGCAGGTAACAGGAGGCGAAAGAAGGGGACTGGGAGGACAAGGAGGGTGAGGGGGAGGGGGAGGGAACGGAGAGAGGGGAGGAGTTGGGGCAGCGGTGGTGGTGGCCACTGCAGGAGGAAAACAAGTCCCGAGCAGAGCAACACGCACCACAACCACGACGATGCCGACAATGCCGACGGAGACGGGGTGCGCTCACGATGCACACCGAAGCACGGTTTTGGCAAAAGACCAACCCTGCGAGGTTTCGTACATAGCACACCGATGAGCACTGCTGCGACCTCCCCCCGAGCTAGAACACTCTGACTGCCGCGGCTCAGGGAGCAGGACGACAGACGGATAGGTAGACAGATAAACCGTCAGCCAGCCAGCCAGCCAGCCATCCAGCCAGGCAGCCAGCCAGGCAGCCAGCCAGGCAGCCAGGTGGCGTGCAATGCCTGGCAAGCCAAGTGGGTGGTCGCTGCATGAGGGAAATAAGCTCCAAGCAGAGCAACACGCGCTTCGGTCACGACGACGCCGACGAAGACGACGGAGATGACGAGGGCGGCGACGACGACGAGGAAAAGAGGGAGTTTAACTGGGAGGACAAGGAAAACAAGGAGGAAGAGGAAGAGGAGGAGGAGGAGCACGAAGAGGAGGAGGAGAGGAGGACGAGGGGGATGAGGGGGATGAGGGGGAAGGAAGGAGGCCGACGACAACGACGACGACGACGACGACGAAATGCAGGAGCAGGAAAAGCCGAGGCATTGCCAGGAACCCCTGCGCAGGACCGAAGCCACTCATTTCCACCAGATTGCTGAGATGATCTGTCATGGGACCGTCGGGTAATAGCATGGCAAGACGCCTGCTGATTTTGTATCACATCAGTGCGGAGGCCCTCTCTTACGAAGCGCAAGCCCAAGCCAAAGGCTAGAGGGCATTGCGGCAAGAGCACCAAAGAATGCCTAGCACACCAGACGGCAAACGTTCTTCGCCAGACGACCACTGGAAGGGCGGGGCCTCCTATGGACAGCTCTGAGCCATGGAGGCCAGAGGGGCTCGAGGCGTCCTCGGAGAACGACCCAGGAGCCAAACCCGCCCGCTCATCCAGAAACTTCTCCCGCTGTTTAGAGACAACCGACTTCGGTGCTAACTTGAGGAG